ATATCTAGGTCCTCCATCGTTTCCAGTGTTGATCACCTTTTTCAGTGTTATACCTCAAGGAAAATGTTCCGTTTTAATTGGTATGTTTCCTAAATATATAACACTGAAAATGAGCTGGTGACTCTCCTCCACATCGGTCACTCTGTGCTCCGTCGCTTCAACTCTCTCTGTTATTTTTTTTTTTAACTTCCATTCCATTTAGTTTTGTATTCATTTCTCCTAGGAAGTCCACCAGCTCGTTCTTGAGTGTTCCCATTGCTTCGTTCACATCAACATATACAGAGATACTGTACATACTGTACTTGTATCTGGGCAGTTACCTTAGTTTAGTCCTCAGTTAGCTTGTTAACTATAACTATATCCTCACTTTACGTTGGCGATCGTCTTTTCTCACTTTTCGTCGTGAATTACTTCTGCACTGTATTTTTGTTCCCACTTTCAACCTGTAATGAAACGTTTTCTGCGAGGTTTATCCAGTATCTGTTGAGATGGTAACCTAAGGTGTCCGGGAGCCTCAGTTTGAAGCTGCTGCTCGTTCCTACTTCAATAACCAGTCCTGTCTTCCACGTGTTCTACAGGGTTTCCTGGTCAGCCTGGAGAACAGAGGGTTCTGCAGCAGGTTCCCATGCAGTTTATGCAGCAGCAGCAACAACAGCCACAACAACAACAGCAACAACAACAGCAGCAGCAGCAGATGCAACAGCAGCAAAGGCAACAGCAGCAGCAGCAACAACAGCCGCAGCAGCAACAACAGCCGCAGCAGCAACAACAGCCGCAGCAGCAACAACAGCCGCAGCAGCAACCACAACAACAACATCAACAACAACAAATTCAGCACATGCAACAGCAGCAAATACAACAACAAATTCAACAACTACAACAACAGCAGCAGTTGCAGCAGCAGCAGCAGCAAATGCAACAGCAGCAGATGCAACAGCAGCAAATGCAACAGCAGCAGCAGCAGATGCAACAGATGCAGCAGTTGCAGTGCATCCAGAATAGCCCAGGGCAGCAGGGAATGATGGGGCAGCATCCCGGTGGTCCGAGTCAGACCGGGCTGCAGCCTCACCAGCTGCCACAACAGCCGCAGCCCAACCAACAGCCACATCTACAACAACAGGTGTGATGGCTACGGCTTTGACTCCGTCAGCAGAGGTTGGCATCAACTGTGGGGCTAATGGTCCTCTTTTCATCTGTGTCCTTGTAGCAGCAGCAGCAGCAGCAGCAGCAGATCATGATGATGCTGAAGATGCAGCAGGAGCAGGTAAAACACCGCATGTCAATGCCACCAGGGGGCCAATTGCCCCCACGAGGCATGGGCAACCCTGAAGTGCAAAGACTTCCTGCTTCACAGCAGGGCAACATGCCTGTGATGATCAACCTTCAAGCCCACGGAGGTGTACCTTCTTCACCTGACAAAGCTCGAGGAATGCCCCTGATGATGACCCCTCAGGTGAGTGGGGGCAGGAGCCAGACTTCCTCTTTGGTTTTTAAAGTGACACCACATTAAAAATCAATACTTGGATAAAAATGAAGACGATTTGAACACAACTGAAGTCAGGCCTGGGACTCTGTGCCCATTGTTGACTCTTTGCTCTCTCTCTTCTTTCTAGCACGCAGGCACTGCACGGAGAATGTCCCATCCCGACATAGGCCAGGGTCTCCAAGGCACAGGACCTGAAGAACCGCCTGTAGGGACCCACCTGAAGCAGGACAGACCAGCTGTGCCTGAAGTGGGTGGGCAGTCTGGGAATGGAAGCCAACAGATGGTAGCCAATCAGGGCTCTAATAGTCATGTGATGAAGCAAGTCCCTGGTCCGTCACCAGTGCCCCCCCATTCTGGAGCCAGCCCCCAGCAACAGTTATGCACTCAACCCCAACAAGGAGCCCCCATGCCAGGCCTTCATTTTCCCAATGTCCCCACAACCTCACAGAGCTCCAGACCCAAAACCCCCAACCGAGCCAGCCCCAGACCATACCACCACCCCCTGACTCCTACCAGCCGCCCCCCCAGCACTGAGCCTTCTGAAATCAACCTTTCTCCTGAGAGGTTAAACGCCTCGATCGCAGGATTGTTCCCCCCAAAAATCAACATTCCTCTGCCACCGCGGCAGCCCAACCTCAACAGAGGATTTGATCAGCAGGGTCTCAACCCAACAACCCTCAAAGCCATCGGTCAAGCCCCCCCGAGCATAAGTCTGTCAGGAATCAACAACAATGGCGGTACAGGTGGGGGTAACACTAATCAACACCCCCTATCTGTCACTGCTGCCGGCCCTGCAGGGGCTAAACAGGAGAAGCAGCCGGGCGGGCAGGGTAAAAGGGCGAGTCCCAGCAACAGCCGGAGATCCAGTCCTGCATCCAGCCGAAAGTCGGCCACACCGAGTCCAAGTAGACAGAAAGTGACCAAGGTGACGGTCCCTTGTTCTTCCTCCTCCTCGTCTTCTTCACAGCAGCAGCAACATTTGGTCGGTGCTCAGGGGCAAACCATGTTGTTAAGTCCCCCGTCAGTACCCCCAAGTCCAGTATCTACACCTTCACAGGTAAGTGGGACCATGGAGGTGCAACAGAACCCCAGCATGTTCCCTGAAGGGCTCAGGGAGAGTCCAGCAGAGCAGAGGCCAGTGTCTCAGACTCACGGTCAGATCCCGGCCTCCAGGGACCTATCCTGCCCCAGAATCACCGGTCCCACCGGTCCCACCGGTCCTCAGCAGTCTAAACCTGACCTGGAAGTGCAGACTAGTAAAGTCGAGACC